AACAAAAGAATTGGGAAAAGAAGACTGGAATGAAATATATCCATTTTTGTTTGCTTTCAAGGCTGGATGAAAGGAGTTGAAGTATAAGATAATCTATAACTCTTCCTCAGGCTGGTTTCCAGGACAGCTTTTATATGTGATGCAATACGCCTGGGCCCTTGGAGGGAAACACCCGCTGTGCCATGGATGTTAATTTCCATGTTTACAAATGTACAAGTTCATATTCATCCCTCCTCTTTTGCTCTCTGCACCCCTTTCTCGTATACACACAATAACACATTGGTGAGAGTTGTCAACAAGAATAATCATTAACGCAAACGTTCATTTCTGCACCTTATCCACCTTTGTGTGTTTCTTCCTTATCCCTCTTCCTTCAGTGTCTCTCCTTGTTTTCCTCTCCTTTCTTCCGGCTCTCAACTTTCATCTCTACTTGGGCTTGCTTTTGTCACATCAACTTCGTTCTGCCAATTCAACAATATGAGGGATAACTCCCTACCAGGCTGGGATGATGGCCTCAAGCCCCTTGATGCACTGGGCATCTTCTACGTGATCTTTGACGTCGTCTGGACTCTCCTTGTAATGACAGGGCTCATCTGGCTGTGGGGCAACAGGGCCATTCCCTCTGTCCGCATGCGCAATGTACCTCTGGCAATCTGTTCAGTGCTCTTTCTGCATGGCTATGGGGGGTTCTACATTCTTGTTTATCCACTCAAGGGGATTACTAGCTGCCGCCTCGAGTTCTGGCTCATGTGTGGCGTACTTCCAGTGGGGATTGCGTTGTTTCAGGCTACCAACGTCCAGCTGCTCAGCGTGGCTACTCTCCAGCAGCGTTTCATCAGGGATGATGGCACCTTTGACGAGCCGACTCCGCAAGAAATTCGCTGTCCGTTCAACAAGCTCAAGTGCTGGTGGACGCACCTCTCGTGGGCTAGGCAGACTATGTTTGCTATTGCGGTTGGGATGTTTATCGAGGTATTCATCTATACATATCCTTAAGAGCTAGTTGTGGAACAAGGGAGAGTGGGTGGTTTAGTACTAACTCTCCACAGATATGTTTCTCTCTACTTGCATTCTTCGGGTCCAGAAAGTTCCATTCATATGGGTTGTGGTCAGAATTTGAAAACCCTCTGCAGTGCAGGCAAGGCGTCGAGTGGTAAGTACTGCATCTCTGAATAATTCTTTACCCGCCTTTCACCGTGTTCCTTGAATAGATACACCTGACTTATTTGTCGAATCAGGCTTCCAACCATTATCTGGCAGTTCTTTTGGTCATGGATATTTGCGCCTTACGTCCTTTACAGGATCCGGGATATTAGGGATGTCCACTGCTGGCGTTTGCAAACGACCCTTTGTATCGTTTCTGGGTAAGTATTTTCTTGCCTTCCATACTGATAAACAATATTGATCACTCTTGGCTCCTAGATTAATTGCTCTCCCAATGTGGCTTGGATCCCTTTATTCACCAAACCTCGAATACCGCCAAATGAACTTCTACTGGGCTCCCCCGTTGTGGTGTGTTTTGGCAACTTCCATTCTTGCCCCTGACTCTCCCCCCTTTTTCCAATTCTCAACTGGACTCTCGAATTCACTCCTTAACACATTCCTTCAAACATGTTGATGGGTTCCTCCCTGGCATCACAATGATGGAGATTGCGACCCTTTTCTTTCCATTCTATGAGGTCACGTTCGCACAGAAATCACGAGCTCGTGCCTTCCATGCTATGGGCAACATCGACGAGTTTCGAAGATCCAGCTTCCCTTCTAAGAACAATGGTCGCGATTATAGCATCGCAGCCCTTGAGCGAGTTCTAAAAGGCGATTCGGCGCTTTTTCTTCACTTCGCCGCTACGCACGACTTCTCTGGTGAAAACATCATGTTCCTGAACCACGTTCGAGACTGGAAAGCAGCCTGGGCCCAATCTCCCGCCAATCTAAAGTTTCAAAAGCCAAACGCAGAGGAGGTAGAAAACTACCGTCGTCACCTGTATAACATCGCCCTCGAAATATACGTCACGTACGTCCATCTTTTCGGTGCCGAGTTCCCCGTCAACATCGAGTCGGAAATCTACCATGACCTGAAAACAGTCTTCATGCCCGCAGCGATGTCACTCATGAGACTTCCCAAACGCAAATCCGCCCAATTCGGCGTTCCCGCTACCCCAATAGACATCGAATCAACCGTAGCCGTCTTTCCCATCCAACCGGCCGCGGACTCTGATGTAAGCTTGCGAAAACGAACTCCCGCCCAGGAATACGAAGACATCCTGTATCGCCGTTACCAGAACATTGTCAACATGGTACCCCGCCTCCCCCCTGACGCGGTCATCCCCGACACATTCAATGAGACTGTGTACGACGAAGCTGCGGCGTCCGTCAAGGTGCTGATCCTCCGCAACACCTGGCCCAAATATGTCGACTATCAAGCTTCGATCCGGGAGCGGGAGGCTAAGAAGAATATATACGCGCGCTTCGTGGCGTTTTTCAGCCGCCAGCTGCCGTCGATGGTTAAAGGCTAAGGAAGAATAAAAGACAAATGTCTTCTCTTTTTAGTTCTTGTACTTCGACGGTCTTCTCATCTTTGATTATCTGTCTGGAATAAGATGAGCTTGCTTCCTTGTTTCTTTCTTTTCTTTGTTTGTTTTCAGACGGTTTTTTTTTTTTTTTTTTTTTATCATGTCACACCTCGAATGGTTGATAGGTCGTTTAAGGGCAATGTTGTTTATGTTTAGGTGGGATTTTTACGCGGCGTGTGGCAGCTGGGAATATCAAAAATCCATGGATAGGCGTTTGCTGAAAAGCTACATGTAAGGAGCTCCCCCCCCCCCCCCCCCCCCCTTTTTTTTTTTTTTTTTTTTCCTTTTTTTCCCTTTTTTTTGGTTCCGTTTCCCCCCCTAGAAAGGCCATCGCAAGGCTTTTTCTCCTTGCATCTTGAAACGAAGACTGTGCCTGCTTAGAGCGCCGGGGTTTTCTATTTTCCCGCAAAAATGGGGGGGGAAGAAAGGATGGGCTTTTTT